GCGTAATCATTTATATAGCTGACTACACAGTAAAAAAATACCATATTTTTCAGAGTATAAGACCCACCGGAGTATAAGACGCACCAAGATTTTGAAGAGGCAAATTTAAAAAGAAGTTTTTGCACTCTGCAAACCTCCCCAAAACGGCCTGTTTTTTGCAAAAATGGCCCATTTTTTGTCAAAAAAAGGCTTATAGAGTGCGACTGGGGGAGGGTGTAAAAATGAGCAAAAACCGGCCCATTTGTTTGCTCATTTTTTCCATCCCCAGCACCCAAGAGCATTCTGGAAGCCTCCTAAAGGATATGCACAGCCATTTTGAAAAGGGGGTGGGGTTTCAGGGGGCCCAAAATTCTGTACTCACTATATAAGACGCACCCAGATTTTCACTCTCTTATACTCCGATAATACGGTAAGAAAATAGTGAATGTATATAAACATTTGACTCTGTGTTATTTTTAAATATTTTAAAAATATTATTTTAAAAGCAAAATAGTTATTGAAATCCCAAACGCTGATTGACTCGCTAAATCTCCAGTTAGCCCAGTGAAGACAATTTCACACACACACACAAATACTCGGACTTTTTAACCTCTCCGTGATGGTTATTCTATCTGCTTCCAGCAACTATGGTTAAGCAACTCTCCCGAGTATTTGGAGATATACAGGTGGTCCTTGATTTCGCAGCAACACTTGGAACTGGAACTTCCGTCACTAAGCAACACAGTCGTTAGATGAATCACTCCCGATCTATTTTGCCGAGGTTCTTAAGTAGACTAGAGGATCTTTAACTAAATGCCAATTTTCCTACCGATTTCGCTTGTTCGAAGCTCTCTGACAAGATTGCAAATGGTAGTCATGTGATCCAGGGATGCTCTAACTGTCAAATAGGTGTCGGTTGCCAAGCATCTGAATCGCAACCTGCAATGGTCATAAGTGTGAGGACCAGCCATAAGTCTTTTTTTTTTTTTTCATCACAGTTAATCGCTTTTCGACAGTCCCTAAAATTTTACACGGGAGAGTTGTTGCAGGAGATCTTGCTGATATTTTTGGCCATATTTTTGGCCATTAAGAGCCGAGGTGGCGCAGTGGTTAAATGCAGCACTGCAGGCTACTGCTAGATCAGCAGTTCAGCGGTTCAAATCCCACCGGCTCAGGGTT